AATTAGCTTCGGATATTAATTCTATATTAGCTTCTTTCAAAGACTAACAAGACATTCTAATTGAACTATCCCTAAAGAAATTAAGAGATTAAGCGCAACCGATGTGGCTACAAGTAGTTCAATCCTATTCCTAGGTAGAATCTATAAAGTGAAGGTTAACGCCTCAAGTTCTTGTTAATTAATCTTTTCCAACTCCAAATTACACTTTCCAAGATTAATTCGAAGTTAGTGGGTGAGTCCTAGGGTTAGCTAATCCCTTTGGAAACATTACAGAACAAGAATAATTAAAGTAACAATTAACTCATTTCATAATTAATAAAAATCATTCAATACTTCAGCACAATAAGATATTTTATTCACACTTTAAATATGATATATTCTCATATATAAGATTCAAGTATTGGAGAAAATACTACACACTTAGATATTCAAATACAAAGCAAGGAAATCGAGAAATGAGTAAAAATGTGTAAAAAATTCTCAACCAAAGTTTCAAATCTTCATGACCCAAGTGTGTGTGCAAGAACCCTAGCTCCCAAACTTGTCTTCTCTAGTCAAGAGACTGAAAAATAAGCCGAAGATCTATTTCCAATAAGCTAGGTCGTATATTTGTGGGTTTAGAATGGACAAAATATGAAATGCCTAAGTTGTCCAGGTCCCAAGCCCGTTGGCCGCACCTCCAGAAGAATTCTCGTAGGTGCGGTTCTGCAGATGCGGATATCTGCTCGTAGAAGCGAGATTTGGTGGAAAGTGGCTATTTCGCAGAAGCAGACATGTTGCCCCAGAAGCGCGTACGCAGATGCGGACATCAAGCGCATATGCGGTTCATCGATCACAGATGCAGTTTCTACCTCGCTTGTCTTCTACCGCAATTGCAGACCTATTCTTGCAGATGCGAGATCGCAGATGCGGACCATTCTGCGTAGATGCGATTCCCCTGGAAATATTTTTACTTCTTTGACTCTTTTTGATCAATTCCACTTCATTTGATCTCAACACTTTTCATGACATTATTTACCTAAAATCTAGCAATACACACCATAAACAACCTCATATTATAGTTAACGGATACAAAAATGAAAGTAAAGAGACTAAAATAAATGGTGAAATCGCCACTTATCATCAAGCTTAGCATAAATCTCAAGATTTTCTCAACATGCTCAACATAAGGTAACAATAGCCTCAATATTCCTTTAGCATGGTTTTGTACTCACATAGTCGATTAAAAAAATAATAAAACACACTACCAAACAAGGCATAGAGTAAGCTAGAATCTATCCCCAGCATGAATATCCATGGAAAATGTATATACGCTCATCACCTCATATATATGTCACTCTCCATGTAGCAAACAATGTCAATTAGTAGGAAAAAATCTCTCAACAAAAGCTAGGAAAGACAGTTACCTCAAACAAGTCAAATCAATACTCTAAAAACACCTTCCCGCGCGAATAGATCTCCGAATGGCCTGAATCTAGCAAAAAACAACTCAATAACATCAAATAATACCATAGGAATCAAACCTAAACGATAAAGGTTGAATCTTTTATCAAATACTCAAAGTCAACCAAGAAGTCAATGCAGGCCCGCACCCCGAAACCTGAACACTCACAAATCTTGAACACCTATTGAAATACGAGTCCAAATATACAAGTTTCATCCAAACCGACTCCAAATCGGAGTTCAAATTTCTATGTTACACCTTAAATTTTTTTGCCAAACCACCAATTTTTCCCTCTTAGATTCACCAATCAAATGCTAAAAACAAGGATGGAATCATGAAAAATAACCAAATCCGAGTCAAGAACACATACCTCAATCCAAGTGGTGAAAATAACCTAATGAATCGCCTCAATCCGAGCTCCCAGTCTTAAAATATGATAAAATGAGCTCAAAGTAAAAAATAAAGACTTAAATGTACTGCTCAGGAGTACCGAACGCGAACGCGAACGCGAAAGCACTACAAAACCTGCCTCTAAAATAAGCCATTGAGTTCGCGGAATCACCATCGCAAACACGATGAAAAAAGTCTGCTAAGCCTGCCAAACCTCCGCGAACACGACCATCCAGGCGCAAACACGAAGTACAAATCACCTAACAATCGCGAATGTGAAACCATGTCGCAAAAGTGAATCACAATGCCTCGCAGATCCATAATTACTCTTCGTGAATGCGTTGCTTTGGCCACAAACAAGAAGAACACTGATACCTGATAAAAACCAGCAACTCAAACATCACCAAAATGGTCCGAAACCACCCTGAATTATACCCGAGGCCCCTGGGACCCCGTCCAATCCTACTAACACATCAAAATATATTAACCAAACTTATCCAAAAGCTCAAAATATCATAAATAACATCAAAACGAAGAAATTGAAGACCAAAATCGTTCTCTTAACCTTCAAATCTTCAAACATCACCGAACATGTCCAAGTCTTACCAAATCAACTTGGAATGAGACTAAACTTTGCACACAAGTTTCAAATGACAAAACGAGCCTATTCCAACATTCGAAACAATGATCCTAACTCGATCCATCAAGTCAACTCCTAGTAAAACTTATGAAATTTCTAAACCTTCAAATTGTCAACTATCGCTAAAAATAGTCAAATCAACCTAGGAATCTCCAAATCCAAATCCGGACATACGCCTAAGTCCAAAATCACCATATGAACCTATTGGAGCCCTCAAAATACGAATCCGAGATTTTTAAAGGAAAGTCAAAACTTGGTCAACTCTTCAACTTAAAGCTTCCGAAATCAACAACTCACATAAGTCGTAATACATCATATGAAGCTACTAAAGGTTTCAAACTACCGAACATAATTTGAATGCCCGAAACAACCGGTCGGGTCATAACAAAATTAGAGAGAGGCCGATGGAGTTTGGTGTCTGTGAGTGAATTTTGTATGAGGAAATTATGTTTTTTTCTTTCTATTTTAGAGAAATGAAGGATTGGTAAATGGCTCATGGTGGTGAGGTGGTGAAAAATGCTGAAGGTGCTGGTAACTTTGAGTGGGAAAGAAAGAAAAATAAAAGGGGAAGTGAAGGACTTGGGGTAGGGGTAAAAACGGGGCTAGGTTGGCAGTCACGTGGGATGGTGTTAGCCATGGTGGAAGGGCAATTTTGAGCCATATTTATAACGTTAGTGATATTGTTGTACTGATAGTATAATAGAGGGTAAAATTAATCCTTTTCGAATAGTTAAGGGACGAATTTGGCTATTTCCCCATAAAAATATGATTTTTTTTGAGCAAATTAATACTCCTTTTGGTGCATAATAAGTGACTCGCATTTGGCACATCCATTTTAGAAATACCAACTCCTAAAGAAGAAAATATATATTCACTAAATTATTCTTAATTAAAATTTGCATATTATTACCTTGACACATTGGGATATGTAAAATGCTGATTTTTAAAAAATAAAATTAATTCCTTCTTGATTATGTAAATGAATACTCATTTTAAACAAAAATAAAAAGGGCAAAATGTCACTTATTGAGGAGTAAGAAAATAATACACATAACCATGAATTTTATCAATGTTGTTATGATTTCCACAAAAATACACACATAACCATAAGCTGAAAAAAGGGAAACGAAAAATGGCCAGATATGCTAGTAAACTATACAAAATTGTATATATTTGCCCGTCGTTAAAGGGTGGACTCAGCCCTGGCTTTGGCGTGCATAAGTTGGGTCACATATGCCTTGTATTTAATAGAGTTACTCAACCCACATATTAACCTCATTAATATGATATTTAGCACCAAATTGTAACACGTGTCACAATTGGTGCATTCCATCTAAACTCTGTATTTTAATAATAAATCAACCGACCGGTTACTCTTATTTTTGCCTCTTTTCTTTTTGTTGATCTAGGGAAATGTTAATTGACCAAAAAAAAAGATAATATACCATGAGCACATCCAACCAGAAGTCAAGGTCTTGTTCGGATATTGAACGTAGCAGGCGTCACTTCCTTCATTGGATGGATTTAGGCTTACTTGTCTCGCTCTCTTATTGGAAGGCTAGGTTTGGAACCGTCTAGGATCCCCTTCTATTAAATATTCCAAGGCATCAAAATATAATTCAACAGAATAAAATCACAAAATTTCAGTATCCAGCAACTCAAGACGGAAAAATAATAAAAGTCCAAATGTAGAATTTCCATTACTAAACCCTAGATCCAATTCAACAACTTAACAACAAATTGGGCAAAAAGTGAAATTAGTGAACGTGGACGACGCTATGGAAGATGCCACCAAGATCGATGTCGTCTTTGAAAAATGTGTTGATCTGAACAATTGTATTGTTGGTCTTATCGGAGCCACTATTCGTCACATCATATATGTGGACGACCACCTCCATCATCCTTCCTTCCCATTCTAATTCCGAGTTTAAAACCCTAACAATATCACCATCTCTTCTTCTCCCATAATTGAATTCAAAATGAAAGCAACACAATGATTAGCATTGAAAAAACACAGTTATTTTATCAGTAATGATAATCACCATAGACCGTTTAGGTAAGACTCGTAAAACAAGTCAGAAAGAGTAACTGGTTTAGATGGAATGCACCAGATTGTGACACGTGTTACAATCTGGTACCAAATATTATATTAGTGTGATTAATATGTGGGTTGAGGAATAGTTATGTACGGCAAGGGTAAGATTAAGTGCACCTTTTAACCACAAACAAATATGTACAATTTTATGGGCGTTTGGACATAAGAATTATAAAATTTTAAAAAAAAATGAAATTTTTTCAAGTGAAAATGGTATTTGAAAATTAGAGTTGTGTCACAATATGAATATAGTTTTGGGTTGTTTTTGAAGTTTTGTGAGTGGTTGATTAAATTTTGAAAAACTAATTTTTGAAGTTTTTTAAATTTTTGAAATTTTTTTAAATTTATTAGCAAAGTGAAAATTGGAAGTTTTATGACCAAATAATGATTTAGGAAAAAAGTGGTGAAAAATACAATGGGTTCTTTGTATAATTTACTGGTAAGGAAACTGTGGGCTGGTCTGGTGGCCGCCTTATTTGTCCCTTCCTCTCAAATTGGCAATTGCGTTCGCTGCTTGGAATTTTGTATCTCTCAAAATTTCTGCCCTCCATGGCTTCGCCGTCTGATTCTGCTGAGCCGTAAGTTACTTTAACTGCTCGCTGTAAATCGTATAAAATGCTATTGGAGAAATAGAGCGTTTCTGAATTTGTGTTTTTGCTTTGTTGAAGGCAAGTTATAAGGAGGAGAAAAGGACCCGCGTTTGAGTATTTGGTTCCACTTGTTTATGCACCTGTCCTTCCCCTGAGTTAGTTTTTGATCTATCCAATTCTTGCTTATTTGGTATTCTTTTCAGATGGATCTGCTTTCTTATCATTCATAGCTCACTGCATTGATGTTTTTGGGTTTTTCAGTTAGGATAGCTCTGAGGCACAAGCCAGTTCTTAGGGATCGTTTGTTCTATGGTGTTTTGGCGGGTGCATTTGCCCATGGCACTTATTTAGTGTATCCTTTCGTTCCTCCATTTTAACATTGCCTTTTCTTTTCACCCCCTAAATTTTCTGAATGCTTATGTTTTAATACAAGTCTATAGTGCATAGAATGAGTTCAAAGACATTAGAGTAATCGTACAAATGTCTTGAAATAGATATGTGAAGAAAGGTTCTACTTGGTATTATAGAGTTTCTCTTTCATTTAATTAATCATTTTATGGTGTTTGGTGGGCAATTCATAACTATTACAGAACAGCAGCTAAATACCGCGCATGCATATTGTCATATGCCACCAACCTAACCTAACACCAGAAAATGATTTAAAAAAATATTATCTCATAGGACATTTTCACATCGTACTTGATGTTGTAATCCTAAATTCTCATAAAGAAAATGTTTTAGGAATTTAAGCAAATACATTTGTTTGCAATAGAATTTCCTCCTGTAGTGCGGTTTTTATGTCAGGAGGCGTGAGAGGTTGGCCATGGAGAGTTTGAGAAGAGGTCGAGGTAGGCCTAAGAAGTATTGGGGAGAGGTGATTAGACAGGACATGCCGCTGCTCCAGCTCACTAAGGACATGACCCTTGATAGGAGAGTGTGGAGGTCGAGGATTAAGGTAGAAGGTTAGTGGGTAGTTTTTAGTTGTTCACCGATAGTCTTAGTTGCATGCATGTCCCTTCATATTCTTAGTTATTACGTTATGTGGTTTTGTTCGTCTCAGGTATTATATTCCCCGGTTATTATTTGGTACTACTTATCCTTTATCTCTCCCTTTTTCTTTTTCTTTTCTCTTCCTTCTTTCTTCCTTCCTTGCTTTCCTCCTCTTCTCCTTACCCTTCCTGAGCCGAGGGTCTATTGGAAACAGCCTCTCTACCTGCATTAGGTAGAGGTAAGGTCTGCGTACATAATACCCTCCCCAGACCCCACCTGTGGGGATCATACTGGGTTTGTTGTTGTTATTGTGGTTTTTATGTGAGAACTTCAGTAATACTTGCTAGGATTTTGCATAAAAGGTTCTTTAATGTTTGTAGACCTTGTAATTGGATAAAGTGCCCATGGGTTTGTAAGGTCCAGTTTGGGTTTCACTTTGATTTTGGTAGGTTTAAATGGATCCTATTGAGACTAAAATTGGTATCTATATGGCATTTCATTTAGTAGCAAAACCGTTAGGACATTAATAATATGCTTTGGCAAGAGGATAATTGGACAGGCTGACTGTGGAAAAGATGGGATGAGAGGAGGGACCTCTATTTGTATATGGTAGTTGTTATTACAATAAGAGGAGGTGAAAGGGGATAAATGAGTAAGAGCAGTGGCAGGTGTGCATCACTCTGTTCTTCATAAAGTTGATTTGCTATTTCAGTTTTTAGTTAAAGAGTTGTTGGTGTTAGGTTATTGAAAAATGTCTGATAACAATGAAAAACCTGCTTGGTGCTTCCTTCTGTATTTCTACAGATTATGGAAATTCTTTTGTTCTCAAAGCATGTTAGTACGCTGGAAGAATTGTGCATGATGTTTAAGTGGAGAAGGGTAGACGGATGGGCCTATTATTTCGAACCTTGAGCTACTGACCCTCAAGAATTTCTGGGTTATCAAAAAGAATTGGCAGAATTGTTGATAGGTGAGTTAATCCACTAGATGTAGATATAGGTATGTTTGGTTGGGTTTGACCATCAATTGGAAGCCTTATCACAAATGTTGTGTGATAAACCACCATTTAAAGCCTTTGCAGCTTGTTTGATAAAATTGAACAGGTACAAGGAGGATATGTTTTTCCATTATTTTAGGATTTCATATGGAATATATCACCTTATGTGAAAAATAGCTTGAAATTGTGCATATAAACTTTAAAAATTAAGCGGAAAAGGCCTAAAAATGCCACTCAACTTTCAGAAATGGTCTATCCATGCCATCCGTTAAAAAAATGCTATTTCCATGCCACTGCCGTTACAAAAATGGCCCATCTATGCCATTATTTGACTAACAGCTGGAATTTTTTTTAAAAAAAATATTTATAAGACTTGAATTTCCACGTAACCTGTCATTATTGGTCCGAATTAACCCATGCCCCATTTAAGTCTAACCTTGGTTAGGTCCATCTACCCAAACCCAACCCGGTTAAAACAAAACCAAATCCCCTTCACTCTCCAGTCGTCTTCCCTAAATCAGCAACCCTAAAAACCTCCATTAAATCCAATTTCTCCATTATCTTTCTGAAATTGTAACCCTAGCTCCATTAAATCCTTTTATCTAGTTTAGAGAGTGGGAAGCATCCATTTCCTCCAATTGAAAAATGAAATGGGTTTCGGTTCATGAAGTCCTGAGAAATCAATTTGGGACTATAATCATATCCAGCATCTTCGCAATCTATGTCAAATTGAAACTCCTCATCCACTTCAGACTTGGGAGAAAGAATCTCCCTATCAGCAATTAGCCTTCTTGCCTCCAAGCAAACAACTTCAAGCTCACTTGGTTCCTTCTCCCCACTACGGAATTCCCTGCTCATCATCTCACCAATTTCAGCAAGGCAGAGACCATAAGCAGCGGCTTCCTTGAGAAAAATGGCGGAAAGGGCCAAGACACGAAGTGCCAATTTTTTATTTGGGGAAGATGACCGGAAAGGGGGGATTTGGAAGGGTTAGGTTTGGTTTTGGGTTGAGTTGATTATTTGGGTAAAAACTTAACCGGGTGGGGTTTGGGTTAATCGACCTAACCGAGGTTAAAATTAAGTGGGGCATGGGTTAATTCGGACCAATGAAGACATTACACGTGGAAATGTTAGTGTTAAAAAAATTAAAAAAAAATTGTGCCGTTAGTTTAATAATGGCATAGATGAGCCATTTCTGTAATGGCAGTGGCATGGAAATAGCATTTTTTAACGGATGGCATGGATAGACCATTTCTGAAAGTTGAGTGGCATTTTTAGGCCTTTTCCGAAAATTAAGGGTATTATATAATAATTTTTGTTACCATCCAAATGCCAGAGATACCTTTATCCCTTTGTCCCAATTAGCCAGCCTCTTTTCTTTCTTTCTTTCTTTTAAGCAGTGTTATCAAAGGCGCGCTTAAGCCCTGTAGCGAGGTTCAAAACATGTTGAGCGCTCCGCCTCGCTTAGTGGGCGCTTTAATGTTGTCATCAAGGCTCTAAGGCATACTTTTCCTTGCCAATGAGCGTAATCCTAAAAAGGAGACACTAAACAATTGATATTTCTCTTAATCGTAAATTTTTTTCAATTTTTTTTGTCCATATATTTGGTATTTAAGCTTATAGATATTAGTCTTATATTATACAATGCATATTTGTAGTTTTTCTCCATATGCGCCTTTCTTCATTAAAGCCCATGTTTTATTTCGCTTTGCGCTTAAAGCCCCAACAGACCTTAGAGTTTTTTTGCGTTTTTCGTCTTTGATAACACTGCTTTTAAGTCCATAACGTTTCCAATGTAATGTGTATTGACTGTAGAATGTTGTGAGTACATCTACAATTGTAGCCTCAAGATCTACATAATTATGCTCATGCAGTATTGCCTCAAGACCCTACAGTCATTATACTCATGCAGTATTGAGAATCATTTGATTGTTTTGATAGATAGTGGTTAAGTCCATCTTTTACAACTCATATACTCCTTCGTTTCTATTATTTGTGGCATAGTTTGATTAGGCATGAAGTTTAAGATGTAGACTTTTGAAACTTGTGGTCTTAAACATGCAATAACATTTGTGTGGCTATAAAACTTTTGAAACTGTAGTCTTAAAATTGTCATAACAGTTGTGTGGCTATAAAAGCTTGTCAGTAAGGATAAAATGGGAAGTTTAAGTTAAATTATTTCCAAATTTAGAATCTTCCAGTCATGACCCGAAATCCCAACCGCGGGACCATAATGGCGCCTAACGTTCACTGGCTAGGCAAGCCAACATTAGCTACACATTATTCATTTTAACAGTGTTTAAAAACAGTTAAATAAGAAATAAAGACTGTAGAACTTCAAAATAGATATGATAAATCCCATTACGCCGTCTAGTCAAACTACTAATACAAAATACTACAACCAAGGTCTGAAATAAAAATACAACTGCCTAAATGAAATAACAGTGCAAGAAATAAGAAGGGGACTTCAGGGTCTGCGAACGTCGTGCAGCTCTATCTCTAGTCTCCGTGATAGGATAGTCCGAGCGAGCCTCCACTAACTGCTGCTAAGACCAACACCCGAATATACACAAGAAGTGCAGAAGTGTAGTATGAGTACAACCGACCCCATGTACTCCGTAAGTGCCGAGTCTAACCTCGACGAAGTAGTGACGAGTCTATATCAAGGCACTCACTATAAACCTGTACGGGTATAAATGAAATAACAACAAAACAGAGAAAACAAGTATAACATGAAAACCGGTCACCTTGCATATACGTCTGAAGTATCCTAACCCCGCATGCTTAACCAATGACTACATATATACACTCGTCACCTTGCATATACGTCGTCCCCGAACACAAATCAAGTAGCAAATAGACCAATCAAGTTCTAATTCCCTCAAGTCAAGGTTAACCACGGCACTTACCTCTTCCCGCAACTAAATCAAGGATCAACCATGGCTTTTCCTTTAGAATAAGCCTCCAAACCAATCCAGTAGAAAAGAATATCTATTATGATACACCAATCCATCTCTGTTAGCCATAAATTTGATTAAGATGCTAAGTTGCTCTGACTCAAGTGCAGGTGTCTTACACGGTTGCGGATTTGGAGGTCGGATCTTTTATAATCTAAATTTTGGGTAGTGGTTATGTCGAAACAGCATTGCTGACAGTATAGAATTTAAATCTCTTTAGCCTTGTGATTGAGGAGGGATGCATGCTTCTTACTATGTAATTTGTCATTAATCATGATATGATCAGTTTAATGAATGTATTTGAGAATGCTATTAATTTGCATATTTTAAGGCTCTAGTTATTCTAGTCCGAGTCCGAGAGGCGTAAAAAGTGTATGATAAATGAGGATAAATGATGTCCCCATAATTACGTTTTTTAGCATAACAAAGTTATATTAGAGGAAGTAGAACTTTAGTCCTTGCTGGTTTTTTCTTTACTATTTTTATTTTTTTGATGAAGGGCAGTGTTATCAAAGGCGCCCTTAAGCCCTAAAGCGAGGCTCAAAACATGTTGAGCGATTTGCCTCGCTTAGCGCGCACTTCAGTACTGTCATCAAGGCACTAAGGCTACTTTTCCTTGCCAATGAGCATTATCCCGAAGAATCGACACTAAACAATTGATATTTTACTTTATTGTAAATTTTCTTCAATTTCTTTGTCCATATTTTTGCTTATAGATATTAGTCTTGGACTACACATATATATTTGTAGTTTTTTTTCTATTTGCGCCTTTCTTCTTTAAAGCCCACGCTTTATTTGCGTTTTGCACTTAAAGCCTCAACAGTTCTTAGAGCTTTTTTGCGTTTTTTGCCTTTGATAACACTGCTTTGGAGCAACGGCAAAATCGTCTCCATGTGACCTGTAAGTTACAGGGTCGAGCCGTGGAATCAGCCATTGATGCTTGCAACAGGTAAGGTTGCTGAAATTACAATCCCATGGTGTGGGGCCCTTTCCCGGACTCTGCGTGGACGTGGATGCTTCGTGCATCGGGCTGCTCTCTTTTATTATATTTTTGATAGGAAGGTAAAGAACAAAAAGGACTCTACCCTCAATTCTGCAGGGAGTTTAAGAAGTCTATAAAAGTATTTACATCATAAGCATCTTTTAAATTGTATCGATAAGACTTGAAATTTCAGACATGCTAAGGATGTGTATGTGTTCTCAGGGCATCTATTGTTTCTTTCTTTCTAAACTGACCGAAAATACATAGTGATGCTGCGTTCCAGATGTATTTGAGCTTCTTCCCAATCCGTTACACCAACTCTTCACTATGTCTTCTATAGAAGCCGGAGCCACCCACCTGACCCCAGCTACATTTAGGAACATGGTCCATACCTCCCATGAATATCTACAGTGCACGAATAGGTGTCTGGGAGACTTTGATTCACATAGATAACATTTGTGGCACATACTAAAACCACTTCATTTCAATCCTTTGGTCTTTGCTTTTGTTGATAGCTACCTTAGAGATCTTGGTATGTTATCTTCCTATATTAGACCTTTGGCCATTCAAATCCTATAATTCCTGTTTTAAGTTCTCCCTTTTCATATCATATACAAATTTCTAGATCATGCAAAATCTAGTCAAATGCAAATACGGAGTTCAGATAGTTCTATGTGACGAAAGAAGTTCTTATTTGTAGTATGAAGAATAGTGCTCTGATAGTCAACCATCTCTCATTGCTTTCTCAAGTCTTTTTCTAGAATGCTTGTGGTTAAAGGTACTCTTGTTCAGGACAACTTTTAAACCTTAGAAAGTGAGCACCAGGAGCTCCTAGCACATTACCTGTTAGACTCGGTGCGGTTTACTATATGTAGCCGCTGTACTTTTGCATGCCAACATGCAAGTTATTGCTGCTTAGAGAACAAAGCTAGTCTGGGGATTTTTGTTTCGCCAAGGTTCAAGAGAATTAATTTTGCCCACATATTGAGCTTTATGCGTAAGTGTGCTACAATAACTCAGTTTTTATGAGGTGTTACTTTGTCACTCTTACCTTAGATAACGAGAAAATGGAGAGCTATATTTTGTGTGCTTAGAATGCACACTTTCGATAAAGTAAAACTTTTATTTGATTATCATGTTTGTAGCGTCCTGACTGCAGCAACAATAATCAAATGGTTATTCTTGGGTTAAGTGAAATTCAAGGTGGCTTCAAATAAATTGAAAGAAAATTAATAGATTATGCGAAGAATTCAACCTAATAACTGTTGTGCAACCTATACGTGACATGAAACGTTATGAATTTGTATGACCCTACCAGAAAGGTACCAGTGTGAATAAGAAATGTCTAGCATTTTCTATACATCTACCTTAAGTAGTCAAACATTAAGTAGATGCATTGAAAATGTTAAGTCTTGAGTATTGCGCTTATCTCATCTATGGGGATTGTCATGAGATTCTTGTGTATTGGAACTGCATCTTGTGTGTGCATGTATGTGTGTGTCTTTGTGTTAGAGGGTCTGTAATTAGACAACGCTGTGATAGTATCAAGTTCTCAGTTCTTTCTCTTTTCATTTCTGGATGAAGTATGATGCATATACTTCTCTGATACATCTAACATTTGTCATCTATCTTTCTGTTTTTTTTTTTTGAAAAGGTACCATTTATCAACTGTATCTGTTTTCTTTGCTCTGGGGCTATTGTTTATTTTCCTTAATAGACATTTCAGTACAGATCTATATGATGCTGAAAGCAAGTGATATGGCAAATCTTACCTGGAGATATCTTGTTTGGTTAGTGTCCTACAGCAACTTTAAACGAGATGCATTTTGATACTCTGATGACATTTCTTATAACATAAATTTATGCTGCAACTTTAGCTGTTTTAAGGAATTTTACTTATTTTGCTGAAACAACTTGTAGCTAAGGAACTTCACAGTTTGGAAATTGCACAAGGTTGATTTCTTAATTTATATATGTCGTTTCATATTATACATTCCTCGCAAAAAAGAGGGAAGTATATCTTTTTTCTTAACCTGCGTTTGGTTTTCTTCGAGCCAAATTAATTGCTAAAACTGATAGAAAGGATAAAGGTTGGTTCCTACTTGCTAGCTATAGCTTTGATCATCTATTATCGTATTTGTCAGAAATTGTTGCTTTAATCTTTGTCTGACTAGGAGGGAGGGAGCTCCAATACTGTATTGATTCTTGAGTATAACCTTCACAGCAAAAGTTGGAAATACAGGTTGCATTCTTAACCTATAAGGAAATCTTTTAATGCGTGTCGGTAACACTGTATTTCGTCTTGGATTCCTCAGCACAATCTCATTTACCATTAGGGCATCTCCAACCTTTACCCCCATTTTGGTCCCCAAAATGGGGATTTCCCCATTTTGGTGACATTTTTTTTTTGGTTAAAATATATTTATATAATAATCCAAAAGCAGGAAACAAACGTTTACAGTTTGTCCAACAAGCAAATAAAAAATAAGCAAAGTTACAGCTAGCTACAATATATAAAATCTAGTTATTACAGTAGATAGAATAGCCAAATCCCAACATAAGGTGGTGAGTGTATCCACATGCTAAGCTGCATCTGAATATAGCCATCCAACCTGCAAATTGATCTGCCTCTCCCCTATATCATTGAGTTCGACCCAGAAACACACATGATGATTGCTCCTATCTTCTGGAAGTGGTGAGCCAAGAGATTGCTGTTGGAACCTGTACATAAGCACCATTCCTGCATCGACGACAACCAATATTCACTGCAACAACACCTCCAGGTTGGGCATGCTAGCACACCAATCTGGTTAATGTCATTACAATGTACCTATGAACAGTAGCATATCATAGCATATGTATAACCATTGCATTCTAGCTTAAGTACCCACACATCCAGAATATGATATAATGACCAAAAGCTAGACCTTGAAGCTTGATCTCCATATACCTTAAGAACACCACCAGAATGAGCATGATAGCATGCTAATACCACTGGAGAATGCCCCGTAAGTATACAGAAAAACAAGCAGATGCAATCACAATCAAGACCAGCCGTTAAGAAAGAAGATGTACTCTTCACTATGTAGCTTCCCTTTTAGGAATAATCTTTTACAGTTTGGGAGCATCTTGCATTGACTTCATTGCAATATTGTGCCTGTGATGTACCTGCTAGTAATAGCAATGCCCATAAATGCATAAGAAGAAATAGAGTTAGTATTCCACTGTTGTTGCTTAGCTCAGCATTATACTGTTGCATTCACGATATTCCACCAATGATGTTATATTGTTCTGCACTGAGGGATTTTGTCTGTTGATCCAACTTTGAAGTTTCAGCATTCACTGCTTGTCTTGTCAATTCTGTATGCCGTTAAAGCACCCCCAGGCTGAGCATGATTACATGCTAATACCACTGGGAGGTATTTACCAACACTCAGAAGTTTACAAGAAGCAGCATGTCCAGGCATTGCATCAAGTGCTATGGCAGTCAATTAGTAATCTTTCTTTTTGCTTGCTTTTGCTTCTGCTACTATTTTGTTGTAGTATCTGTTCTGTAATGCCTGCTTGCCTTACCAATTCCAACACACAGAGCCATCACTCCAGCTGAAGCAATGTAAAACTGGAGTGATCTTCCAGCACACACAACCATCAGTCCAACTGAAGCAATGTGAAATAATGTTATGATCGTTAATCTGGAGCCTTTCTTTTTGTTACTCTAATCCTAAGATTAGGCATTTGAGCTTTGTCAAGATTAATTAAGCTCCTTCCTGCACTTGGTAAATCAGATGTTGAGTGAAATGATATTGTACCTGCAACAGAAAAAGCCAGGTTAGCTAAATAATCTGCTACCGTATTTCCTTCTCTTAGTACATGTTGAAAGATCACATTGTATTGATCCTTCAATCCCTTTATCTTCTTTACTTCTGTCCCAATACACCAGGGTGGATCCCACTCCCCATCAATGATCCTTTTCATAACTAAAGAGTCAGTCTCAATGATGAGAGGGTGAAGTTGTTGCTCTACACAATGAGCTAATCCTTTACCAATTGCTTTAGCTTCAGCCACAATATTGGTTGTGTTATCAATTTCTTTAGCTTCAGCATATACCAAATCTCCTTTATAATCACGCACACAAAAGCCATAGGAACTAGATCCCGGATTGCCTCTAGAAGCACCATCTGTGTTACACTTGAACCATCCACCATATGGTAACTACCAGACTACTGCCTTGGTCATAACATAAGGTTTATAATCTTCAAACCCCCCCCCCCCCCCCCCCCTAAAGAGAATATTCTTTTGTATATTTTCTCTCTCTCTTCTATATTATATTATTATCTTTCATTTCAATTTTTTTTTAAACTTTCATTAAACAAATTCCATCTTTTGTTTTCATTAATTTGTAATTTCCATTAAAACAATTCCATAAAATTTTAAATAATATATTTTGTAAGCAATTATTATAGATTAACTAATAATTCAAATAAAAGTGAAATCATTGCAATACAAGATTAATTAAATACATATTACATAACGATAAAATTCATTCGAAATACTACATAAATATTCAACTTCAACCTCTAGTATTCTCCCATAAATGATCTATTAATGCATTACGAAATGCAAAATGAGCATCTTTGTCCTTAATTCTTCTATGTCGAGCTAAAAATTCTTGAAATTGTTGATTTTCATCTACTGCCATTTATACTGTTGGAGGTGGACCTTCCAAATCATCTTGAATTGGTGCATTAAGATCACACTCATTCTCGATTATCATGTTGTGCAGTATAATACATGTAGTCATTATAATGTATTTTTAATTTTAATGTATTTCAATTTTAGCAACACCAAATATTTTATATTTGCACCTTTCATATTTTGTGATGGTTATATGTTTTTCATACAATTATAACTCATAATAAAATTAACTACCAATTTTACATAAAAAAACAGATGCACGATAATTGATTTTTCAAAATTATACGTCAAAGTTAAGATGAAAAATTAATTAGGTAAATATATTATATAAACATAATTAAGTATATATAAGAAGATAAATTAAAAAATTAAATAATAAAAATAATAATATTTTAATAAAAAATAGTAAATGGGAAGATGAATAGTGTGTCCCCAAATTTGGGGAGACACTATTCACTACCCATTTTAGGAACAAAAATGGGGGAGGGTTGGAGTGAAATTTTTCCATTTTTGGGGTGAAAAAAATCCCCGTTTTGGGTACGAGGTTGGAGTTGCTCTTAGTCCTGTTCCTTTGATATAAATAACATGTATTTATTCCTTAAAAAGGGTGGGTTGAACTTTCTTTCTTTCAGATGTATCGATATGTATTCAACATGTAGGTGTAAAATCACCAAATAGTTAAAAGTGGATGAAATAAATTTAAAATCACATGAAAAGTTGACAGATTTACAAATTTTTTTAATTTACACTTAACAAAAGATGCAACAACGAAAGAAAAAATTCTATAAAGGCGATACAAAAACGTGTTTTAATTATGTTAATTTGTTTGCAAGAGTTTTTTTAGCCCTATCTGGGACTTGTGCTTTTATGTTGGAGCAATTACAGCAATATTCAAATATTTATAGTTATTTTTATTTTGTTTAATATCAACGTAAATTAAATTTTAATGGAGAATCATAAAAAGTGTAATAGTCGATCAATTTATTTGTGATTAAGGCATAGTTTGTTTATTTGTTGTAGAACTTTCCGTCAGATTGATTTATAAGGTTATTCCCATCACATCAGTTGGGCTCACGGGCTATAGAAGGGGAAAATGACACTTAGAGCCCTTTTTAAATATTTAATGATCAAAATGTCTGCCTTTCTGAAAAAAGATAAAATATGTTCCCTTTTGAAGATTTTAAGACCATGCTGCACTCTCCTCTATGCTAGCATAGGCTTCACCAAAGATCCTCCTTCTTCTTCTTCTTCTTTTTTTTTTTTTTTTTTTTTTTTTTTTTTTTTTTTTTTTTTTTTTTTTTTTTTTTTTTTTTTTTTTTTTTTTTTTTTTCCTTTCTTAATTAGTAACTATGTCTACTCTTATTCTATTTTTCTTATTTTTATTTTTACGTTTTTTTTTTTTTTTTTTCGGTTTTACTTTTTTTTACTTTTAGTTTACTTACTTATTTTACTTTATTTTACTTACGTTTTTTCGTTTTTACTTTACTAAGTATACTACTGTCCTACTTCTTACTTTCTTATTTTCTTTATTTTATTTTCTTTNTGTTACTTATTTTTCTTTTATTATTTTATTCTTTTAGTAGTAACCCTCTCACGTTTTTTTTTTTTACTTGATTTGGTAATTTTTGGTGTATTTTTAATTTTATTTATTTTTCCACTAAAATCTCTCCGTCCAAAATATTTTGTCACTTACTATGCGCTGGCACTAGCCCTGGGCATGGATTCCTAAATTTGATATTTTTAGATACTTTTTCCTTTTTTTCCTTTTTATTATTATTTCGTCTAATTTTTCTATTATTTTCAGTAAATTCTTCAGGCCAACCTATTACTCCCTATGTTCCAGTTTATGTGTACCCATTTCCTTTTTGGTCTGTTCCAAAAAGAATGATCCCTTTCTAAATTTTGAAATAATTTAGCTTAAATTTCCCATTATACCCTTAATGAGAAGCTTTTATAACCACATAAATACTCTGGACCCTTTTCTAACTTGTTTAGGACCACAAATTGTAAAAATCTTCATTTTTTCTGAAACTTTGTGCCTAGTCAAACAGGTTCACATAAATTGGAATGGAGGGAGTATCACTTTCTTTCACTTTTGTTTCTATGATGTAACTCTTTTGATTCTTTTAATTCTTTATTTAATATTTGTAGATATTTTATTTTGCATTTTCTAAGAAATTTTAGATTATTTTTTAAATTAAAATCTGTTTGTTCAACATCTGTCACTTTTTTTCCTTATGATTATATTTTTTTCTATTATTTTTCAGTAAAATTTCTCTATTAAAATTTTATCACTTTATTCTACTTTTATTTTTATTTTTGGTTTTGTTCTTTCTA